GAAATGAAAACGATTAACATCCATGCATTTATACATAAAATCATAAATGAAAACTAAATACCAGTATTTTGCGTTATCTAAAGTAAAAAATGCCTCTTGTAAACATGTATCACATCTATAAAATCTATCTTTGAGCATCACTTGATACGTATCCTCTCCTATTTCTCTTATGTTTTTAAACTTATTTGACATACATGCAACGCGTGCCTTCTGTGCATTCATTATTTTAGTCTTTGCGTAATTTTGTGTATTCATTGCATCGTAACCATATGATCCATTAAGCGAAATCTTGCAAAATAAACTTTTTCCTTTATTTCCTTCTAATTCAGCCTTTTGTCTTTCATTCATAAATTCGTTCGCAAATTCATTAAAACAAGTGTTTTTAGTAAATGTTAAAATTGATTGAATATCATCGATGATAAAATGAAATCTGTCTATTAGATACCAAAGATAATAAGAAGAAAATGGTTGATATTGGTTGCGTGTTGATGCTAACTGAGTTAATTTCCTCTGTTTCTGGTCAACTGGTAGATTGTTTGATTTCATGTAATTATACATAAAACTGCCAATTGTTTTTTCATCTGTGATAATATCTAAGTTTCTTATTATCGGTAAAAAGTTTATGTAATCATTAATGTATTTTTCATCAATGTGACCCTTTACTTCAGCCACGAATAAAGTATTTTTCTTCTTAATTATTCCCAGTGCTTTTGCTTTCTTTGTTGCTGTATCACAAATGATAAACATTCAATCTTCCCGGCATATACATTTTATGGTCAGTATATTGAATGAAATCATGAGGATTAGATGAAAATGATGAAGGATATAATGAATTAAAATCAACACCAACGAAATGAGTCATGATGTTGGAAGTGTCCTCATTTGATACAGTTTTAGTTTCTGGATTATATGAAAGTTTATTAATATGCGTGATTCCTTTAAGATTTACTCTATGTTGAACATTTGATAAACCACCAGTAATTCCATTACGGAGAATGTGATAAGCTTCAACTGAATCTAAAGTCATTGGTAAATTATTTTTTAATGCATAATTTCTTAAATTTATTCTTAAACGTTGAACATCTTCATCTTTATTTGATTTTACGACATTGCAATAACAACACATTAACTGACAATTTTCTTTAGTATGTGGTTTTTCATTATCGATTCTATCCAATGTTGGTTTATTAGCATATGTAAACGCTTTACTACACATTTTGCATTTAGATGAAAGGATTAAATCGTGATAGTATTGAAAATCATCCATTGAAAAATTATTTTTAGTATCTCTTTCTGCTTTTTCATCTTGTTTCTTATATGATTCAATTTTATATTTCCAATACTTTTTCGTTAATTCAAAACTTGATTCTATCTCTTCCTCGGGATATTTTTCATTAGGATTAAAGTCTTTATATGCTAAAGCGTAACGAATCATTGAAGCATTCGATGATAAAGAAAGATTATGAAGCATATCAATTTTATAAACAAATGTTTCTTCAATAATTTTATCGATTGTGTCAATCATAATTTCAACATCTTTATTGCAACAATGAATAAAATATTCTAATCTATTCTTAAAATTTTTAGCATCATTGAGATATATTTGATAATCACTATCTGATATAGTTTCTTGAGTTAATGCTGAATAAAATGAATCTTTCGTGAATGGTTCCTCTTTATATAATTCTTCTTCGTAATTCTCCCATGTGATGAATTGATAAGGGAAAAAGGATTTAACACGTGATTTATTGTTTCCGAAATCTTGAGTGAATTGGTCTAATGTCCCACCCGCTATATAATTTCTGATGTCAATAAATCTCAATTCATATGGAACGTTTGTTTTCTTTACAATGATTTGCTTAAATTGTGAAGATGAACCCAGCATTGATTTTATTTTCCATTTTGCAGTGTTTAAATCACGAAGAATTAATTTTAAATCAAACTTTCCCGAATTAAAACCTATGATATTCACTTTATTGAATTCCTCATCTAGAAGTTCTTTAAATGCTTCCTTCTGTTTTTCATTTAATGTATGGGACAAAGTCCCCGCCGTTTGCGACTTCAATAATTCATTGTATTGACTCATATTTGATTTAGCAACTAATGAACAGGTTGAAAATAAAAACTCAATCCAATCAGAAATAAAAGAATCACTCGAAGTTAAGCAAAAATTCCTCGTATATGTTTTATCATTTAATTTAACTGTTGATGATACCATGAATGGTTTTAAGTAAGCGTTCAAAGTTGCACACTCAGAAAGTTGTAATTCTTCTTTAGTCTCTAATGTTTCGAAGTCAAAAGTAATATAATATCTTGTCGGTTGATAATATTCCTGCAAATTATGAGCTAATAACCACTGATATATCTTCTGTTTTGTAATATGTGGTGCATATGGTTGCTGGGTCTTTTGCAATTGAACGTCTTGAATTAATCTTCCATTATTTTCTTTACATTTCTCACAATGCTTTAAAAATCTTCTTTGGTTTTTCCTTTCTGGATCATCACGGATAGAATAAACTTCTTCTTTACAATATGGACAAACTTTATAGCCGGTGAGTGCTTCAACGTCTGTTATTCTGTCAGCGTGAAGTTTTCCACATGGACTCTGTGTTAATAAAATATTTACTGTTTCAAATTCTGGATCTATCATTATTGATTCCACTAATGGAAAGTCTACCTTATTTATGTCCACGTCTTCTGGTTGAGGATCACAATAATAGAAATCAATATTAACATTTAACATTCTCGCTAATCTCTCACTTTCTGATGAAATGTCAAACCCTTCATATGCATCTATTGCTTCATTTAAATAGCTTCTACGAGTTTTAGGATTAACACCATCAGGAATGTTATAGAAGCGTTTAAATAACCTTCTACCTTCTGCTCTAATTTGATTATCATTCATTTTAGCTGTTCCGTTTTTGTTCATTTATGTAAGAATAAAAAATTAAAAAATAAATAAAAATAAAGTTTATTTTTTAAAGCCCATAAAATGAATTAAGAACACATAAATTTTTATCATCTGCGACGTGACGAATACATTTTAATTTACTCAAGAATGCGTACCCTGATACATTAAATCTAATTCCTGTCTTATTTAATTTCACAACTTTGAAAAGGAATGTATGAATAGCTATAAAATGATGAGAAGATGTTTTATGGGTTGCTTCCATTTTTTCTGAAATAAATGAATAAATATAATGTTTATAAGTTTTCATATCTTTTATGTTCTTAATAACGAATGGTATAGACCTTTCAACTTCGTCTTCCTTCGGTGCTGTTCTTTCATATGAAACATTATTAGTATCTTCAACAATGAAACTGCAATCACATAAAATTTTATATGTTCCAATGGTTTCATTTGATATTTTATCTAATAAATCAAAAACTTTATCAACACCTGTGCATTTATTTAAATAATAATTTGTGTAAATATCATAATCTTCTTTCTTAATCGTATTAGTTGCATATATCACGTTTTTAAGAGCTTTTTTGAATTTTTCGGAATCTAAAGGTGGTGAAAGTAGGATACAGGGGTATTCTTCATTATCAATAAATTGTAACTTATGTTTACGAATAAATTTAGTACCTTCTTCTGAAAGTGTTTCGTCTATTTCACCATCTAATAAATTTTGTGTTGATTCTGAGACATAATTTTTATATCTTTCTTCATGAGATTTCTGTACTTCTGATTCTGAAGCTGGGATATTCATTAAACCCTCTACTTCATTTTCATTATATTTTTCAACTTCTCTTAATTCCTTAATTTTTTCATCTATTTCATCTCTTATTTTTTCAGTCTTTCAATTTCATTGTATTCATCATCTTTAATCCGTTCTTCATAATATTCAGGGAAAACATCAGGTTCTTTAGGTTTTTCTTCTTCAGATGTGGGATATAAGAAATTTATAACATCATCTTTATTCATTTTTCCATCATAATCTAAATCATTTAATAACTCGGCAAATTTTTGACAATTTCTTAAATAATATTTATTAACTTCATAACCTACCTCCTCTAATATATCCTTTATTTCCTCGTTTGTGAATCCTAATTTTTTAACGTTGTTAGTTTTGACGCTCATTTCATACAAAATAAAAAAATAAAATAATAAACATAACTAAGTTTTAATTTTTCGTAAGAAGTTTATTTTTAAAAATTTTTTTTATTTTTTATTTCATTATGGTAGTGAATCTTTTATTCATGAAAATAATTATTTCTAATTTCTTTTACTCTCTCGTATATACTAGATTTAAAGAATTCAGAACATTTCCCATAATCTCCTAAATGTTTTCTTATCTTATTGGTTTTCCATTCATTATATGAAACTGTATAAACTTTATCTTTATCTTTGCATCTTTCATCACTTCCAATATATTTATATTTCAATTTTGATTTATTGGTTTCATATTCATTAACGTTTAATAATTCACAGTCTTCCTTTTTAAATAAATGTTTTATGTATTCAGGATTAACAATTCTATAATATTGCTTCCCTTTAAATCTTTGAATATAAACAGGAACACCATCCTCTAAAATTCGATAATCTATTTTATCTGGTTTTACTTGTTGGGTCATTTATGTAAGAATAAAAAAATAAATTATTTTAAAAATAACTTTAATTTTTTAATGGTTTATAAATAAATATATTTTTATTTTTTATTTCATTATGTATGGGCTGAGTGTAAATGTCTTACAATTTTGAAAATTTTTTAAATCTTGATTTATTCAAAAACGTAAGAATAAAAACCGTAAGAATCATACATTTTTTACTTCATATGTTAAAAAAAATGATACAAAATCGCTCGATATTGTATGAATTCTTACGTTTACAAAAAAAGTCACAAAACCCATCATATCCTACTACTATTTTTTCACAAAAAAAATTTTTTATGATGATGTCATTTACTTTGATCTGATTATAAAATCTATAGATTTTCGGTTTATGTCGGAAATAATTTTTGAGAGGCATTTTTCAGCAATCAAAAAACGTGACACAAATGACTGATCCATATCCCCAAGCCGAGGGCGCCCCAGAACCAGCTAAGCCTAACATCGATGTTTTCGTCACAGGATTCGGCATGGATGGCAGAGAAGAAGACGTCAGGAAGATTTTCGAAGAATTTGGTCCGATTGAACAAATTACAATTCGCAAAAAACCAATGAACCCACAAGCACCTCCATATGCTTTTATCAAGTTTGTAGAATTGAAAGATGCCGAAGCATCATTAGTCAAGAACAACACACACTATGGATCAAATGTTCTTAAAGTTGAATTTGCCAAACGCGACAGAGGATACTCAAAAGAAGAAGCACTTCCACCACCACGCAGACAGAGATATCAGGATCGCAACCACGGCTTCGATCGTGATCGCGAACGCAGATACGACGACCGCAGCAGATACAACGAACGCCCACGATACGACAATCAAAGGTATGATGACAGAGACCGCGACAGATACAGCGAACGTGACAGATATGATGATCGTGAAAGATACAGCGAAAGAGAAAGATACGACGATCGCGACAGGTATGCTTCACGTCCAAGGTATGACGATCGCGATAGAGGATTGCCAAGAAGCAAATACGATGAGCCTCGCCGTGATTACGAAGACAGATCTCCAGTTCAAAGCCGCCGCTACGATATGATACCACCACCATCACCACCTTACGAATCATACGATGACAGAAGAAGATCAGACCCGTATTACGATCGCCGTGACTATGGAGAACGTCGTGAAAAATATTGAAAATTCAAATGAAAATCATTAACAAAAATCTTTAATATTAGTTTTTATTCAAACCAATAAATTGAGATATACAACAAACAGCATCAAGATTCTATCAAAAAGTCAATAAAAATTCAATGATCTTATAATACGGATCAAATTTCAATCAAATACAAATATGAGCTCAAAGGAATATCAACAACTTTGCAAATCATATTGTTTTTCATTCACAACAATCCAAACACAAAATTCAATTTTTTTATGTTTTTATTTTCCATTTTTTCGTTTATATGATATATAGATTGTAATACACTGTTTGAAAATATTATATTACACTTCTTTTTTTATAAAAAGAAGATATTTTATATTAATTTTGTTTATATGTTAATAAATATTAGTTGTTCTTATCATAAATTTTCTAAACTGTTTGTGTTAAGTGTTTTGTATCATTCAAACAATCTTTTAAACAAATTATTTAACAAATTTAATTTCGAAACTGCTTCTTAAACCAGATCTAATCTAATGTTTATGCTTTTCATGTATCATCAAACTAATGCCATGAAGTTTACTAAATGTTATAATTTTTTATTGAGCAAATTCCAATTGTAAAGATAAAAATAACGAAAATAATTGTTCGTTCCCGGGTGGAGTCATCAGATATGTTGTTCTTATTACAATGCCATTATATAATCGTTTCTCCATTATTAAAAATATTTTTTTTGTTTTTGAGCTATCCAATGACAAATTTTTTCACAATTCTGAATTAAGTTATCAGGGGTGTGTACACGTTATAATATTTAAAAATAAAAAAATACTTTTGATAATATAAACGTTACTCAATTCAATTATTGAGAACGTTTTCAATTTCTTAATTTTTTTCATCTTCCAATTAAGACCATAACGCGCCGAAACTTTAACAATTTTCGCGCGAATGATCTCATATCAGAAACCCAATCCTTGAAAAGTGTGCGTAGTGTTCCTAATCCAGTCATTATTATACCAAAGATTGGAAATTTCAAAGAAACTGCAAGTGTAGCAACAAGAAATTATCGAGCAACTAAGCCAATCCCAACAAAAGTATACAAGGACAATGATGATAATGACGATAATGTCTTAATTGAGAAAAGTTTATTCGATAAACACCTTGATAGATATAGCTTTCAAACCTCTCGATCTGCAGCATGTGGAATACCATATACCCTCCAAGAAAAGCCAATGTCTCAGGAGGAATTAAAGATGAGTGTAAATAAATTCGTCCGCGGATTTGTTTTAGATCAAACACAGGATGTCCAAGCTTTAATTATACAGCGTGCCTATAGAATGTACAGACAAAAAATGCATTATAAGCGTTTCATCCAACTTATTCTCAAAAATAAGAAAAGAATGAAACAACTCTTTTTCACAGGCTGGAAACTTGCATTAGATAACGAACCTGCAAAGCAACGCAAAGTCTACAAGGAAGCACTTCCTATATTAAGACTTCATCCATGGGTTCAAAGGACAAGAACACTTTCTCCATATCCAGTCTTCTATCTGACAGGCCAAATATACATTTTCAGGCCATTCACACCCGAACAAATATACGCATTCGTACATTTGATGTACAGCTACTCAAAACATCGATGTCTTCGTCTCTGGCACATTACAGCTTCAGGAAGAGTCAAACATCGTATGTCTTTGAGCTTTATTCGTTTTTCAACGAAGAAAGCTGCAGCATTTGGAGTTGTTTACAGAGCATTTCTTCTCTGGTATCGGTTCATCAAATGGAATGCAATTTATTCACAGCAAACAATTGATACAAAAATGTTTATAAATGTTCCATGCAATGATGTACTTCCTAGATGGGATGTAATCCAAGAAAGCTACAACAGCAAGATCAGACTTCAACAAAGAGCCAAGTCTGCCTTCTTATTGGCTCTAAAAAAGAAAACTTTGCGAGCATTATATAATAAATCTCTTGCAAATGCAGCAAATCAGCAAGTAATATACAATGCTGATGTATTCTATCAACAAAACCTCCTTAAAACTGGTCACAGAGCTTGGCTCAAGTATATCGAAGAAAAACAGAGAGATAGACAGATGGCAGCGAAAGCATTCAACGCTTGGTACGAAATAGCGTACGACAAAGCTCATGAAAAGACAAGAATTCAGTTTTTCCACGATCGAGAAATCAAATTTTTCTCTCATCGAATTCTCAACCGCTGGATTCACATTTCAGGTGCCGCAAAGCTCAAAGATGAACTTATCGTCACAAGAATCCAAGAAAAGCCGAGAATCGCGATGAGAATTATTTTTCCGCTTATGAAGTTAGACATTCTTGCTTTCAACATCCGCTGCTTTGAGCAGTGGATAAAATACACTCGCCGCAGAAGATTGTGGAGGAGATTCGTAATGTGGTCAAATGAACAAAAAGAACTCTCAGAAAAGAACTCAAAGATAATTGCAGCGCTCAAGAAAGTTGCAAACATGCACAAGATTGGCGCTCTCTCATCATCTGACTCGATTTTACCTTACAGAATTGGAATTTGTCCTGAATTAACTTTTTCTGCCATTAATTCAATTCAAAACGAGATAATCGAGATGGACGAGAATCACGAAGCTGCTGTAGCTCTCCCAGCGAAGACAAACTTTGATTTGAACGCATTTCTCAGAACAGTCATCATTTTGGTTGACGAGAAGAAAGATTTTGCAATCTCCTACAAGAAGGTCCCTCCCAAAGAAGTTTTCGAGAGATTCAGAACTCACCAAGAACTCAGAGATGCAATTTCTTCTAATTCTTTGATTTTGAAAGAAAATGTAAAGCAAAAACTGACACGTGATCGGGCAATTATCACTGCAATCAAATGCCATGAAAATGCGATTGAATTGCATAAAATGGAACCAGATTTTAACATTTCCAAAGAGCCAATTTATGATTTAGTTCCAATGAATTTGAAATTGAACGAAAATCCACTGAAAATATATCCAGAATACAAAGTTTCGTTCAACCAGTTGATTAGACAGATGGAAATGGCTCCACCCCGTTTGATTTCAACGTTTAAGACAGAAATGAAATCTGCTTTCACGAATTTCGACAAACACATGCGATCACCAACGAAGATCAACAATCTTAATGGCGGAAAATCACAGAATACGCTTGCTGGAATCTTTGGAGGCTTCGTTAATTCAATGGTTGCGACAAAGAACGCAATTAACCATGAAATTAAGAATAACCGCATCCAATCATCGCTCACAAAGCATAACATCGTTAAACAAGGTTCATTTAAAGGTCCTAACGGTGAAATTCCTCATTGTTTGTTCAATTACGAAAGAATTTGCTCATTTGCGAAGAATTACAAGATGAATGAGTTGTTTATATCAACATCAAAGTTCATCAACTCATTGTGTGCTGTCACAGTTCCTCCTTTCAAAGATTTGTCGTTGCCAAATATGACATTAACAGAAAAGAGGAGATATTTGAGGAACAAGCAATTGTTTATTGATGAAACTGAGTTTCCTGAAGCAGCTGATGTGGCATTGGTCCTCTACAAATCACTTTTGACAACAAAATTATCAAAATATCTTGAAAAGCATCCATTCCCTGAAGATATTTATCAAGACGATATCTCTCTTCTTGATGCAAGGTATAAACTATGGGCCGCTCTTATAAAGAAGTATCAAAGATTCGAAGTTCCACAAATCGGACTCCCTGAAGGCCAAATCCACTTGAAATCAATGATGAGTGGTATTGGATCTTTCATCGGGACAATGGGAAAGCCAACAAATGGATCAATGCTCTCATTCAATCTCGAAAAGAAAGAAGATTTGACAAGCACCGATGGATACATTGGCATTTTAATACTCCCTCTTGTGTTCACTGTTGATAATGTTTTTACATTTGTTGATGAAGAATGTAATTAATTATTTTGTTTATTATTATTTTCATTTTATATTATAAAGTATTTATGCGTAATTTGAAAAATATAGTACATTTTTGTATTTATTTCTCATCAAAATAAAATTGATAACTTTTCATAAATTCTATCTCCTTTTCATCCATCCCGTGAAATTTGAAGGAAACATATTATAAATTGAATCGAAAACTTGTTCTTGTAGGGGCGGCGACAAATTTGCCCAGCCAGTAAAGTATTCAATTTTTTTGCATTTTTTTTAAAGCTTCTTAACTTAAATCATGGAATGTCTCAAAGACAAAAGTAGCATACAGCATGTAAAGCTAAAGAAAGATAATCATAATTAATACCTTAATTTTTAATATTACGCATTTTTAGGTGCAAAATTTAAAAACATTCTAATACAATAGAGCAGTTTCCAAAAGTAGCATACAGCATGTAAAGCTAAAGAAAGATAATCATAATTAATACCTTAATTTTTAATATTACGCATTTTTAGGTGCAAAATTTAAAAACATTCTAATACAATAGAGCAGTTTCCAAAAGTAGCATACAGCATGCAAAGCTAAAGAAAGATAATCATAATTAATACCTTAATTTTTAATATTACGCATTTTTAGGTGCAAAATTTAAAAACATTCTAATACAATAGAGCAGTTTCCAAAAGTAGCATACAGCATGTAAAGCTAAAGAAAGGTAATCATAATTAATACCTTTAAAGTTTAAAATCTTGATTTTTTTTAAAATCAAATATTTATAACTTTAATACATACAGCTTAAACCTTATACTTGTTTTCTCTTGTGAGAAAGCAATCTTACAAAGCTAACAATCCTAAAAAATAAAGAATTAAAATTTAATAATTTAATCTAACAAAATTTCTCTCTTTATCCTTTTGCACTCTTTATATGCAACTCAAATCCATCATATAATATTCCTATAATACTCTTGCCTCAAACAATGACGAACAAACTGCTATTCTCATTTAATTACAGACCAAATCTATTCAAATTTCTGAATTTTTAATTTTCATTTCAATTTCAAATGGAATTAGAAGAAGAAACTATCTTTACTGTTATGGAAGGCAAGGCAAGTGGGGCTTCCAGGCGCGTTGCGCCCTCTAGCCCCGAAGATGTTTAGTATAAATGAAGTTTATATTCGGAGGGCTTCCAGGCGCGTTGCGCCCTCTAGCCCATAAGAAATTTTGCCCAAGACCCAAGAGGAGGACCGAACCCCAGCCGACCAGCCGGTGACTTTTTTGTAGAGCACTCAAAATAGTATAACTTTGTCCGGACAAGTAAGGGTCTATCGTCACTACAGGAAAAGTTACAGGCGTTCCAAGGAAGTATACTTTGAGAAGCCTTTTTCCCCTTATAGAATGAGATAGGACGGTTATTTTACAAAACTAACAACACTTTGACCGAGTAGTTTTTTGTGCTGAACAAAAAGTGTCATATAAACATCTGTCAAAAACCGCTTTTTAACTTCACTTAAAATGCCACGTAAGCTACGTAAGAATATACGTAAGAGGAAGGGAGCATTGAAACATCCAATAGTAAAACTGACACCACAACAACAGTTGCAACAACAAATGATGAATGACCCCACTATGTTGCAACAAATGTCAAGCAACCCTATGCTTTTAAACCGAGTTATTGGTGCACAGAGTGGAGGTTTAAGAGCGGCACTTTTAGCGAAAATGGCAGGCTATGGTGGAGCTGCAGACGGAACAGCTTATAACCCTCAAAGTCAAATGAATTTGAGTTCACTCAAAAATCAAATAACAGATGTCAAAAAGTCAAACATAGACATACAGAAACAAATAAGTGAAAACGAAAAGAAACTAGAATATGACAGACACACAAAGAAACTCAATGAGTTAAACGTAGAGAAAAAGAAGAAAGAAGAACAACTGAAAGAACTAAGTACAGAGGAATATGCGAAAAAAGTGTCAGAAAAAGCAGCAGAAGTAGCAAAAATGGAACAAGATGTTATAAATTTGAAAAACCATACTACTCAATATAAAGTACTGAAAGATGAAGAGATAAAACAAAAAGCCATGAAGACATATATGGATAGCGATGAGTATAAAAAAGAAGTTGAAGCAAATGTAAAGGCAGAAAAACTTTTACAGTTGCAAAACCAAACCGTACAGTATGAAAACTTAGCACAAGAAAGTAAAAATAACGACGCAGCCATGCAAAAGGCAATGAAAAGCGCAGATATTATAAAAGCTAATAATGACTGGTTAGATGCCCAAGCCAACGCTAAAGCAGCCCAACTTATAGGGTCAATAAGGACAAAAATACAAGCGGATGAAGACAGTTCAAATGAAGCTTTAATGAATGCTGACTTTAAGAATGCCTTCGAAGCTCTTCATAGTAAGGTGAAACTAGTGAACGACTTCTCATCTGGAAAGAAACTGAAGTCTGAAGGTTTCGACATAGAGTTAAGAGAAGTAGCACAAAATATGACGAAAATAACAGATGCAGCAACGAGACAGGCAGTTCAAAGTGCCTATGACGCCGTTAGAGCAACTGTTGTGGAAAGTCAAGAAAAAGAGTTACAACAGACCAAAACAGACCTAGTAAATGCTTTCTTAAGAACGAAAAGTCAGGTAGGACATTATGCTGCAGATGGAACATATGTGCCAGCTGGTGGAACTTATATACCACCAAACCCTCCAAGAGAAGCACCTGCACCAGGACTACCTAAAACATTTACATCGTCACATGGACACAGACACAGGCATGCACCACAACAACAACCAACAGTTCAAAATCCAGCACCACAACAACAACCAAAACCAACAGTTCAAAATCCAGCACAGCAACCAACAGTTCAAAACCCTGCACAGCAACAACAACCACAAACAGAGCAAAACCCTGCACAACAACCAACAGTTCAAAACCCTGCACAGCAACCACAAACAGAGCAAAGACACAAAAGAAGTAGAGAAAAAGGAAACCAAGAATTCTTAAAAATGCTTAAGGAAGATTATGGTTACCCAGATACTCTTGACTTTAGTGACAAATATAAATAAGCTATTAGAAAGTTCAAGGAAGGAAATACTGACCCGAACCTATTTAGCTTTATGGTTCAGCACCAAATGGGATATAATTTCAAACCTGGAAAATACAAGCTCGCTAAGGGATATGATTTAATAGCATATCATCCAAATGACATGAATGAATTTACTCCGAGATATTTGATGTCAGAGCTAAATGATAATTCAACTCTCTTCATGAAACGCGTAAAAAATAGAGACGGAACGAAAGAAGAAAGGTTTATGAGTCCGGATGACTTAGATAGGGAACTTGTTAAAACGGTCTCGGAATATATGAAATGCCAGCAGATGAGGTACAAGAAACTCCACAGGAAGAAGTTCAGATACAACCAGACATGGAAGAAATAGTTCAGCAACAACAGCTAGAAGAGCCTGAAGGAAACGAACAAGTCCCTCCTTTGGAAACTAACTTCACAGAACTAGATGAAGATTTGGAACAGCCGAAAAATCTTGACCCTCAACAAGAGTATGAGGTGAATATGGAATCTTTCCAAGAGTCTAAGAAAAATTCGGCTGACATAGTAGAAGGATATCGAAAAATGTTCACCGACATACAAAAGACTCCAACATCAGATGAAAATATTCAGCATAGAATGGAAGTACTGAAAGAAAATGTACGCAAATACAATAATCCTTTTTACTTACGACCATATAACGTTCAATCTTTGGCTGAACTCGGTGAAAATAAAAGGTTAAATTTCAACAAAACATATAGAATTGAAACATTGTTTAAAGTTCATTCAGAACTTAACCAATATGGAAACAAACCTACTTTTGTTTCTGCAGACTATGGAACTACAATGAAATGGGGTCATAAAGCTAATCCGGATAGGTGGTTCATAAACTTACAACCTCAATTCCAAGAAGTTGTAGACGCAATGGAAGTGAATGGTGAACCAGATATAGCTGGTATTTTCAGCGCGGCTTTAATGCCATTGAAAGATATGAAAGATGCAGATATTTTGGACCAGTATGAAATGAACATGGCTGATGGAAATATAACACCTGACGTTCTAGAACATTTATCTCAAAGAACTACACAGAACCATAGAGATGGTATATTTGGTGAAGAGTTTAGAAAGAGAGTTAGGGAGAGAGAAGGAAGAGAACCTATTGTACATGACCTTGCAAACGAAAGTTTGCAAAATGTCATAAAAACTTACTTTGCAGACAATGAACCGAGAAGGGATGAATATTTAAGAAAACTCAAATGGACAGTACCAAATGAAATGTTAGTATTGAAAAACATGTTCCTTGACAAAATAAACCAACTACAGAAATAAATGACGCAAGACTGAAACATTGGGTAAAAGCTTTCCCATTCACAAAAGATATTATTGGTAACATGGAAAGAAAACCAGAATGGCTACAAAAACATATATTTGGAAACGAGCTTATTCCATATGGACAAGCTCTGTTTGAAGAGCTTGAACCGGAAACTCAGGAAAGAGTCATGCAAACAATACGCGAAGACTCAAATACAAACTATGACAAAATCTTTCTAGGATATAGGTTACCTGAGATGGGCGACCAGAGCCCAAAGGCAAAAAGGACATGGGAAATTTACAACATACTAGGTGAACATGAGGCAAAGATGCAACGACTTGAAGCAGAGGGCAAGTTACCAAAAGCGACACCAAAGAAGAAGAGTAGAACAAAGTGAAAGTAGTGAAGAAGTAACTTCATCTAGTGAAAGTAGTGGCAATGAAGGAAAAAGAAGAGTTAAAAACTCAGTCAGGAAGAAAGTAAAGCTTGGTCCGAAACAATTATGATATATAAATCCAACTATTCTATATTTTTACCCATATGAAATGTACGCCGCTCAGAATATAACGCCAACAGTTTTGGATGCCATGAACGGAAATGTTTCCGAATGGTATAACGAATGCGACAATGCCATTAGAAGGTCAGAAATAGTTCCTGGAACTTACGAATATACAACTGCTGTTTCTTATGGAAACGTAGGTGAGTTTGGAGAAGGTTCTTCAACAACAGTAGATATTGCTTGCGACAGGTTTCATATTATTTCTATTGACAACTCATTCTTATACGTGGAACAAGACATTGAAATAAAACCTTCTGCCAAGTTGTCTGACAAGAAAGGTTGCAATGGAATTTTCTATGTCGGATACCAATATGCTCCAGAAGTTTTCATGGGATATAAGATATATTCTAACTCTGACTTAGTTCAAACAGTAACATGGGCAAACTATGAATGGTTCGCTTTGAGAAACTCAGTACAACCACAAGCTAGAGAACAAACAGACCAGTATGCAACTATTGAGAAAATAAGAAGACTTGACCCTAACGTTCCAGGAGTTTATGTTAACCTTTCTGGACAAACTGCAGCAGCAGTAACCAAAGTAAAACTGAAACTTAGAGTTCCTTTGTCATCTTTCCTCATCTTCAGGTTTTTAAGATACTTGCCAAACTGGGCAGGAAAAATTTCTATCGAACTTACTCCAAGCAAAAATAACTTAGTCATTGCACCAACACAAGACCCATTCAGCATTACTGTAGCTGGAACTGGTGGAGCCAAGTTCTGTGACTTTTGCAAAGACAAAGTTGACTTAGACTTTGGTTTCTCAAACCTCAACACTGAAGTAAACTATTATTTCAATGCTGCTGGAGATGCTTGGGACCCAGTTAAGTTCACATGCGAAAAATTTGAATGCAAGAGAATAGAAAGCAGACTTGCAGTCTATATGTTGGACCCAGATATTTCAAATGCTTTAGCTGCCAAATATATTGCAGTTCCACTTATGTTCCCTATACACCAAATATCTGTCAAAGACTTTGCAGGTGAAGTTGGAAACCAAAGTGCTGACCCAGGTGCAAGAACAGATATTGCTTTAACAACTGCAATGAAACATGCAGATACTATGTTTGTACTGTTCAGACGAACTATAAATGACTATTCTTGTTTCTACAACCCTGGTATTAAATATCATATAAACATAGATGGCAAATATTATCCAAGAGAAGAATATTCTACAGTTGAGGATATGAGGTCATACAACTTGACATTAGATGCTATGAACTTTAACAACAACTTCACAACAACCATTAACCCTGAAATGCAAAGTTCTATTATGCCATATGTGAAAGTATGGACTCATACAGGAGGTCAAAAAACTCAATATACAAATGGAGACCGTTCAAACTTTTGGCTTGGCATTCCATTTGCTGACTCAGAAGACTTTATGGGTGGTATTTCAACTGTTGGTACAGTTCAAATACAATATACTGGTGACAGAGACGGTCCAGATGAATTGAAAGCAAAGAAGTTTACAAAACCAATAGCACTTTTCACGGAAGATGCTCTTTTGAAGATTCGTTCGATGAAACCTGCTGGGACTCCTCAGATTGGCATAACGACAGCTTCCATCGAGCAGATTTTGGCAGCAGGTCAGTAAGTTGTTCTTGAACTGACTTCTCTCCGTCAAATATTGACAGTACGCCAGTTTTGACATAATATTGTATTATAAACTTTCCTTTAGAAATATCTGTAAGTTTTGTTGTTATATTTTTGTCAACGTCAAGAACTTTCACCATCTCGGTTATACCAACTTTCTTTGCTTTATGAAAATATTTAGGTTCAGCAAAGACTGCTATTCTATAACATTTACCATTGTTTGTATAAAGAACTATTCTGTCAATGTATTTGTATTGTTTGTGAGTATAAACCTTGTTTTGCTTCAATTCGAAGAGATATCCGAATACGTCCATCTTTTTATTCTAAGTAAAATGTCATTTCCGAAAAATAGAAGCGTAAGTGTTTCAAAAGGTTTAATGGCGGTGGCAGATGTGAAGTTAAATTCACCAACTCAAACAAACAGTCAAAGTGTTATTGTCAATGTCAAAGACAGAGATGTTGAAGTGGGGAAACCATACGAAGACGAAGATGGTATATACAATTGTTCCTGTAAAAGAACCAACATATCCTGAAGTTAGCAGAGACTTAAGTTCTGTTGCAGATATTCGAAACGACTACCAACAACTGAAAGACAAACTTCAAACTCAGGAGAAGATTTGTCAAGCTTTAAGTATAATGTTAAACTTGGTCGAACACAACCCTGTAAAAGTGAACTCATATGTCATTGCACCTCATGAAGTTTTGAAAGAACTATTGAAACTTTTGACAGAGGCAGACGATATAAACATCAAAGAAATAGAACCCGACATTAGTTGCTGTGGTGTTTCATATAATGCCATTGACAAGATATACGTTATGAAAGGAGGTGAAACGTTGAACTTAAAGTATAGTTTCCCAGACGTTATAAAATATTTGACGACCACAACATTTCATTAAAGTTTATTTGCTAAGTAAATGGCAGAAGACATAATGGTTTATACTATTACGACTAAAAACCCTGAGTCATATAATTCTATAACAACAAACTTACAAAGTCCTCAAGGACGATATTGTAAACTAACCTTAAACACAATGACGACTAAAGCCTGTTTTGCTCTTTTGACACCAGAAGACTTTATTGTTGTGAATGGTAAAAATACTCCTTTGAAGATACTTACTCAGATATACCACCAACAGGTTTTGTTGACTTATTTAATACTTTTAAGTACGGGTGTCACATGTGCTGCAACTAGAGCAGGTTTCATTATGTTTGGATGTCCCGACTGAGTTTACTATAAACGATATGAGCTATAATACAAAACTTATTTCTGGTTTTTACTACCAAACAGTTTCCTATAACAGGAAAAGGTGTCATACAAGGAATGTCTATTCCATTGACATTAAGCACACCAATCTTATATATTGTTTCAAACTTAGGTTCAAAGTGTTATTCGAATGTCGACAGAAACTATTATGACCAAAAGATACTTATGCGTATAAACAATACTTTCTCTGCTGGTTTGCCTATTGTTCATTTCGAATGCAGAATTTTCAACCTTAGTGAACTCAAACACTTTGGCAAGTATAACGTTGACATTAGTTGACGCAAAACTTTGTTCCTGTAAAACTTTTATGTCCTATGTATTTGTCAATGACGGCAGAAAGTTTCGAATTGGAAGATGCAACTTGGTGAAAGTATTGTATTACAAGAACAACTTCAACAACAAATAGCTCAAGAACAAACAAATGCAACAAATGGAACAACAAAGTCAAGAATAAAAAATATTATTTTTTTTTATTTTTATAAAAATGTACAGAATAGATGTTTCAGATTTTTATGACTTCCAAGCATTCAGAAATATGTGTCCATTTAGAGACTATAACAAAGCAGTCGAGAATTTGAAACGTTTAGTCATTTATGTTGACTCTGCCCAGAATGTTATGTCATGAAAAGAATGGGATGGTTGTCTTTAACAAACCAAGAGCAACAATAGTTTCAGAACAAGAATGTAGACAGAAACTTAAGAAAATAAAAGTCGTACAAGTTGGAATGAAGATGTTAGATGCTTGGGATATCTTATTGTCAAAGTTAGAAGATTTTTCAGTTCGAGGTATAAAGTTTTATACACCTTCTCCAAACTTCTATTCTATCTTCACTGGATATAAATATGAACAAGTAGAATGGAAAGAAAATATTATAGAAGCTTGGTTAGACCATGTCAAAGAAATTATATGCAATGGAAACGAAAAGGTTTATGAGTATATCTTATGTGGTTTGCAAACATCTTACAACATCCAAGTGCTAAAAATAAAACTGCTCTCATTATAATTGGAAAACAAGGAACTGGTAAGAATACTTTCTTTACAGATATCTTATGCAAACTGTTAGAGGGCTATTCGAACCCGAATATGACAAACTTAGAAAACATCTGCGGTAAATTAACTCTTCTATTGAGAATATGAAACTTATAGTTTGCAATGAACTTCAAAGTATAGATACAACAAAAGTTTTGAACTCAGATGCTTTGAAGAGTCTTATAACAGACAAAGTTGGAGTTGTTGAAAGAAAATATAAAGACCAAAGAGTTTGTGAAAAATGTTGCAAATTCATTATGGTTTCAAACAATGCTGTTCCGATGAAGTTAGAAAGTTCTGACAGAAGATATGTAGTTGTCAGAACGTCAGAAGCTCATATGCAAGATACAGAATATTTTGACGACTTAGCAGAAACTTTGACATCTGACTTTTACAACAACTTGTTCTCATATTTTATGACATTAGATATTTCAAAGTTCAATCCAAGACAAATTCCACATACCGAAGAGAGACAAACATTGTTAGAAGCAAACAAGAGTGTATATGAACTGTTCATAGATGAAACTGACTTTGAGTGTTTAGATGAAAGGTCATTGTACGATTCGTATAAACAATATTGTCAAGAATATGGTTATATGACAGCGTCTAAACGAACATTCTTGGCAAATGTCAAAAGTCTTTTAGATGTTCAGAATGGTGTATATACAAAGAAAATTTTTTCTGAGTAAATTTAAAACAAAAATATTTTTTTATCCGATAGAAAAGATGGCAAAATTCATCTCAGTAAATAAGTACATGTCAGGACTTAAAGAAGAACTAGACCCATTCACATATTTGAATGTTTACTTCTACCATTTTGAAAAGTCTTCATTCAGCAAAGTTTGGAACATCGAACCAGTTAAGTTTGCTATTGTGACTAAAAATGGTGCGAAATTTGAAGACTTAGACATAGAAGGTTTGTTAACAGTCAAAGAAAGTTTTGACAGAAGGTTCTCAAACCTTAAAGAAGGCAAAGCATACAAACTTGTTATACCTTATGAACCAAAGAAGACAGACGACTATGAATATTATGAGTCTAAAGTTGTAGAAGTTCAAGGTAAATTGGGTAAAAAGATTTTAGAGTCTAAGCCAGTGTTTACTCCTAAAGAGGAAGAGAACATTGACATTGACCCAGAAATGTTCTAAAAATAAAATTTTATTTTTACATGTCAAATTTCTTCTTCGGTGGAATTGGCTCTGGTTCTTTCTTCTCTTCTACTTTTTTCTCTTTCTTTTCTTTCTTCTTCTTCTCTGGTGGAGATATGTCAAATTTCTCAGAACCATATCTATGTAAAAGTTCTTTGTCCTTTAATAGCTCATCTATTCTGTTTTCTATTTCATCTTCAAGAACAGCGCATGTGTCTTCTTTGCATTCTAAGAACTTTTGTTGGACTTCATCTTTCCAATCGGTGTCATCTCTGTCAACAAGTCTGTCATTGACAAATTTTAAGACTTCTCTGCTTAATGTTTTATGGTTCTTGTCATATTCCCAGAAACAGAACTTTAGAACAAATTCACCTTTCTTGTTTACACTATGTAAGATTTTATGGTCGACAGATGTTTTGCTGTCAAAAAGTTTGTCTCGAATATAGATAGCGAAATCGCTAGACATTTTCTAAAAGATAAAAATTTTAATTTTTCTAAAAATATGTTAGAAAAAAAGTTTGCTGACATTGACAAGAAATTTGAGAATGTTTTAAACAAGAACAAGAGGAAGTTAGAAAATGCTCAGATAAAGCCTATACATGACAGTTAGTATGGCTAAGTCGTGTACTGAGGCACTGCGCGCCTCCGTACACCACTTAACCTTAAATATTTACAAAACCAGTAACGTATATTTTACAACACAAACGACAACACTAACTTAACATTAAATATTTACAAAGCCGCCAACCACTTCACTTCACTAACGTTTTCACTA